TGAATGGAACTGTCACCTCCTTCGGCTTCAGGGACAGCATCTACTGACCATCCTGTCCTCTTTGGCCTGCTTATTCTCTTTTGGCTCTTCCTCTCCCTCCGTTCACCTACTAAATACTGGGTTCTGTAACAATCAGTGTTGGTAACAATCACTCCTGTTACTTCTCTCAGCAGATTTTCTAGGCTCTACTGCAGTGGATTTCAAAAACCTCTAGTGACGCTTGCATTTGAAAGCTATCTCTTGTATTCTAGACTCACAGAGCTAAGTACCTAAGGTCATCTTCAACTGGTATCCACCAACAAATGCAAACTCAGCAGGGCTGAATTCACGAATTCACTACTTCACCTCCACAGAACTGCTATTCCTTTCTCTCTCAATGAATGCCATTATCGCCTACAATATTGCTCAATGAAAGACAATTTTTCATTGTGAGGAAATGCAATGAAGTGCTCTCATTTTGTTTTTTAAATCTTTTATTCATGCTCAGTGCAAAGGCATGTTAAAGTCCTCTTTATCTCTAGCTAAATTCCTGCAACAGCTAGATAACCATTATCTCTTCTTCTAATCTTACTCTACTTCCCTTTTTCTGAGACAAGGTCATGCTATATAGCTCAGGCTTGCCGGAGTAGCCAGGATGGCCTTGAACTCATGGTGATCCTCTTGCCCCAACCTCCTAACCACTCTTTTTAAAGGACCATAATATTTTGAGATGGACCTTTTCAGGATGAGCTTAGTGATACTTCTATGTTGATTCTTCAATGATTTTGTGTTGCCTTAATAAAGCAACTTGGCTGAGTGTGGCGGCGCACGGCTGTAATCCCAGCACTCAGGAGGCTGAGGCAGGAGGATCACTGCGAGTTCGAGGCCAGCCTGGGCTACAAAGTGAGCTCAAGACTAGCCTGAGCTGCATAGCGAGACCTTGTCTCAAAAAGACAAAAATAAATAAATAAAACACCTTTATCCTTCTAGTCCAATGAACTTACTTGGAGTTCCTCAAAGGTGTAATATTCCTTCACCTCTGAGCAACTGGACACACTAATCTTTCTACCTGGAATGGCTTTTCTTTTGGCCTCAAAAACATATATTCTTAGCAAGGCTTGGTAGCACACCTATGTAATCCCAGCACTTGGCAAGCTGAGGCAGGAAAACTGCTGGGAGTTTGAGGCCGTAAAGAGTTCAAGGCTAGCTGAACTATGTAATGAGACACTGTCTCAAGAAAAAACAAACAAAAAAGAATTCTAAATATATGAAATATAAAAGGCTTGTGAATGTTGCTCAGTGTGAAGGCCCCTCGGTTAATCCTTAGTACTGCAACAATGAAGACTAATAGAAAGACAGATGGGAGGAAAGCAGGGAAGAAAAAGAAAGTGAAAAAATAAGGAAAATCCCAGCTCTTTGTAACTAGCACAGCTATTTACAAACCATTGTCACTGTCACTCTCTGCCAATTCACTTGGGGTCTAACCTCTTCTCCTATGGTCGTCTAATTCCTCTCTGTCAGATCTTGTAATTTAAGAGCCCTGTGAACCCTTAGAAAGGCTGTCAAGAAAACTATTTTCTTTTTAATTAAGCTCTTTGACTAAGCAAGTCATTACATTTCCTGACACTTAACAGCAGTGCAAAACAAAGAGAGAAATCTTTTGTCTTTTGTTCTGTCTTTCCTTCTTTTTCTCTTCCCTCTCCTTCGTATTATACATTCTATAACTGGGGGATTTAAAGTATTATTTTTGGGTGGGAATGGTGGCACATGCCTGTAGTCCCAGCACTTGGGAGGCTGGAGCAGGAGGATCAGCATGAGTTTGAGGACAGCCTGGGCTGCAAAGTGAAGCCCTGTCTCAAATCCTTGCCCTAAAAAAAAGTTAATAATGTTTTTCATTGTCGCTAAATATACATAACATAAAATTCACCACAGTAACTTTTTAAAGTACACCAGTGTTAAGTGCACTCACACTGTTGTGCAACCAATCTCCGGAATTTTCTTCTTAGTGAAAAACACAAACTCTATGAACGTTAAACAATATACGTTTTTCTTAAGCACAATACTTACTAGGTAATAAGTAAACAAATTTTAATCTATTGTTTTTATGTAATACTCAATTTTTTCCTATAATCTAAAATTCCAATTTACCATATCAATACATCCAATATCTTAAAAATGCAATTTTGTGCTATTTTCATCATATAATAAAAATTTAAACTACTACCATGACTACATATTCATCGAAAACACCACTTATTTTGTGCTGCTGTAAAAGACAACTAGGAAATGGGTTTCGTCCTTTTAGACCAATCTGACATTTGCAAATTGTTTAATCTTATCAAAATACTGTACCCATTTCAGAGTACCACAAAATAATCCTTTTAAAGCAAATTCTAAAAAAATTTTAAAAATAAAAAAAATAAAGCAAATTCTAAGGGTTTCACAAATTTTTATTTATGGGAAGGAAAGAAGAAACTATAAAAACAGCCAGTGAACTGATGGCTACAGATAAACTAATCCTAGCTACTTCAGCTTATTTTTCCTGCAAAATGAAAAATTTTTTTCCCTGTAAGAACAAAATCCACCTATCTAATCATTATATATTATATATATGTACTGAAATTTCACACTGGAGCTCATAAATATGCCCAATTACAATGTGTTCATTAAAAATAAAAATACATTAAGAAGAAAATCCAGCTTAAACTACACAATCAATTGGAACAAAGGGTTCATCAGAACTCTGACTTACACGTTTCATAAACCTTAGTCAATTCAATCACGCTTAGTCCCTCTTTAGGGTAGCTCTTCATTACAAATGTACTTCCACCCCTTTCTCTCTAGCTTTCAATCCCTTCCTTGGTCTAATTCCCTCTGTTTCTCAACAATTTTTTCCTCCTCCTATTACCTAAAATATAATGAAGGGTTAGTACTATGGTCCCCATGAGCCTCTCCAATTACTGGCTCTTGAAAAACAAAGGCCAGGTGTGGTGGTGCACACCTACAGTCCCCAGCACTTGGAAGGCTGAGACAGGATGATCACAGCAAGTTTGAGCTTGGGCTATATAGTGAGTTGAAGGCCAGCCTGAACTAGAGGGAGACCCTGCCTCAAAGCAAAGCAAAACAAAACAAACAAAAACAAAAGCAAGGGCTAGGCATGTAAATCAGTGGGAGAGTGCTTGTCTAGCACATGTGAGGCCCTGGGTTCTATCTTCAGCACTACAAAGACAAAACAATCACTTTACTTCCATCATTGGTTAAGTTATTAACTTTCCTGTGTTTAAATTTCTTCACCTACAGATCAAGGATAAAAGACTGACTAGTACTGTATGACCACATCCCTGGTACTCAGCAGGTGGTAAACTATTGACGCAGGAGGCTCTCACTACAATTTCAAGGCCAGCCTGGACTAATGGTGAGTTCAAGGCCAGCCAGAACAACACCAGTAGGCCCGGTCTCCAAAAAAAAAAAAAAAAAAAAAAATCTTCAAAACAAAAAACACCCAAACTCAGAAAATTATTAAACTTTAAAAGAAGCAATGTATGTGAAATACTTAGCACAATGCCAAACATAACGAAAGCTCACATTAAACAGAAGCTACTGCTGTAACCAAAATCTTCAGTGGCTCCCCACTTCCCACATACTCCAATTTTAAACCTTTTTGTCCCACTTTCAAAAGCCTGTATGATTGTGTCTCAACAATGTAATCTCCAAACAAGCATCCCTACTAGAATAAAACCAATGCATGTTCTCTTCCTCAAAAAATCCAAACATTTCTGAGGTTTTAGAACCTCAAACACAACAATCCTTTTACTAAAATACCTTTTATCTTCCCTTGTCTAGAATACCAATTCCCTTAGCTCATATCCCACCTGGCCCAGACAGCATTTCCCAGCCACTCTGACTCTTACTCATTTTCCTCTTTTTCTAAAAGGGTGGTAGGGGCTGGGGATTTAGCTCAGCAGCAAAGCGCCTGCCTGGCAAGCCGCAAGGTCGTGAGTTCGGTTCCCAGTCCCGGAGAAAAACCAAAAAAAAATAAATAAATAAAAGGGAGGTAAATTCTATGCTCCCCAGCTGTCCCAAAAGCAAAGTGAATACAGGTATTCCCCGTTTAACAACCTACCTGTTGGATGAATGTTAGGACTTTTGACCTGCCTCTTGGACTTAAACCCATATATATATATATTTTTGGTACAGTTCTATACATCTTTTTTATAGACCCTCAATGTCTTTTTTTGGTATGGAAAAGGAGTATTGTCAGTTTGCTGATTGTACTATATACTCCATTACTATAGCTTTATGTTCTGTTATACATTACAGTACTGCATGTAAGAGTTGTGAAAGTATAAGTAAAATCATCAAGGTGGAATTTGCTCTGACCCATTTTCTTGTTTTGAATATTGTAATGTTCATACTCTATATAAGTCTTCGTTTAGCAATCAGTTAAATTAAATGACCCGGCTGCAGGACCGAAGCAGGACCACAATTCGGTCATTGAACAAGGAGTGCCTGTGTTGCTTTTAGTACACAGTGAGTGAGCTACACTATTAATGAGTCAAGGTGGTCAAGTGTTAAAATGAACTACGCTGTTAACAATTACTTCTGGATAGTAAGATTAAGATTTTCTTTTTCACCCTTTCCTAAAAGTTTTCAAATAAAAAGAATAAAGTTATCTGGCCATTCTACGACTTAGAAATCTTATAATGTTATTTCTATAGCTCCTAAAATATCTTCTGGATTATTAATGGAAGATGCATATGTAAATAAATGTCAGTGGAATTTTAACAAGTATTTTCTGTATTTACAATTTTTTATTTCTTAAACATCAGTGATTCAAATATGATACCTATTACCCAGTATGTATGGTATTTTGACTAAAAGTTCACACTACGTATTGCGTTCCAATAATGCAAATATTTATTACTTTACGCTCTAAACACAAAACTTTTATTGCAAAAGTGATACTGTCGAGGTATTTATATATATCTGAAAAACCAAATATAATTTTAAAATATTCTTACCTAATCCTTTTTGTCCTGGATTCTTTGCAAAATTAAAAGTAAACTGGTAAAAATCCTTAAATCGTCCTGGTTCTTTCAATTCTTGCTCCATCTTGGGTATCTGAGCCTTTAGCTTTTCTATGCTGTCACATCTACATTATAAAATTAAGTTTATAAAAAAAAGGTTAACTTTTTTACTATAAATTAAAAATGTAACTTATTTATTTCTAGGAGGGCTTATATTTACTTCCTAGCACTTCTTTTTAAAACAATCAGATAGTTGGCATTTCATCTTTTTACATTATATAAATAAATATGGTAATACCCCACTTAACCAAAGGGGTTATGTTTCAAGACTCTCAGTAGATGACTAAAACTTCAGATAGTACCAATTATTATCCCTTTTTCCTACACATATATCTACGATAACTTTTAATTTATAAACTGGGCACAGTAAAAAGTTAACAATACAAGAGAATTTTAACAACATGCTGTAAAAAGTTATGTGGTCTCTCAAAATATACTTTTTCACTTCAAGGAAGCACATTATGGCTCTACTTTGGGCATATCCAAATTGCCAGTGTCTTACTCCTGCATTCTCGGACCATTACTAAGAAGGTTACTGAATGAAAGCACTGAGATACAGATACAGGGGAGCTGATAATTGAGACAGCTATTAAACAACAGGCAGGTAGCAGATATGGTGAGGACACACTGGACGAAGGGAAGATGTACATCCCAAGCAGGACAAAACAGGATGGCAAATATCATCACAGTACTTAGAAAAATGCATAATCTGGGCTGGGGATATAGCTCAGTGGCACAGTGCCTGCCTGGCAAGCACAAGGTCCTGAGTTCAATTCCTGGTACCCCGCCCCCCCAAATGCACAATTTATAGATTGTTTATTTCCGAAAATTTCCAATTAATAATTTGGGACTATAGCTGACTGTATCACTAAAAGCTCAAAAAGCAAAACTAAGCTTAAGGAACTTATATGAAGTGAAATAGGAGGAGGTCTGGAGTGATGACATATTAGAACTAATTATTATTTTTAAAATAAACTGCCGGGCACAGTAGCGCACACCTGTAACCCCAGCACTTGGGAAGCTGAGGCAGGAGGATCATTGTGAGTTCGAGACCAGCTTGGGCAACAAAGTGAGCTCAAGGCCAGCCTGAACTGCATAGCAAGACCCTGTCTCAAAAAGACAAAAAAAAAAAAGAAAAGAAAAAAAGAAAGAAATGAGCTGTTACTTTTAATTACATAATTCCCTAGAATTATCAACACGCTGACGGAAGTCAGCTTCCGCGAGAAGATGAGAAGAGACAGTGACTGGCCTTACAATCATCGGTACAATCACAAACACTGCACAGACAGGATTTCCCCACACATCTGGCTTCCACAATAATGGGAAACGTGGCCTCTTGCTGACAACTTGCTTCTTGCTATATACAAAGTACAACAATAAATATCAGCTACCACTTCTAACTGAATTATCTCAAATCAACACTTTTTTTCTATATCTGCAAAACATTCAACTTTCAAAAGTTGGAAAGCTAAGTACACCACGATTTACTTTTCTCATAAAAGAGAAATACACATTTTGTAAAGATGCCATCAAAAAGAAAATTAGTCTACTTTTTTCTCTTCTAATCATTTTTGCTTTTATTTTCTTCATATAGATAGATAAGATAGATAGTTTTTTTGTTTTTTTTTTTTTGCTCTTTTTGAGACACAGTCTTACGTGCAGTTCAAGCTGGCCTTGAGCTCACTTTGTAGCCCAGGCTGGTCTTAAACTCCCAACAATCCTCCGGCCTCAGCCTCCCAAGTGGTGGGATTATAGGCATGCGCCACCATGCCCAGCCCTCTTCCTATATTCTTTATGACATCTTCTAGATCACCAGTTGTAAAATGAAATTTCAGACTAGAAGCTTATCACATTTTACATGAATTCAATTTCAACTGTACCTGGCACTAAAAAAAAATAAATCCATGCTCAGGAAGATGTCTCTGGCTATAGGATAGTCCAGGCAAGGTTATTAATTTATTCCCTCCCAGCAATGGCGTAGGGGGTGTCTCACAAACACAGCTCAGGCTGGCCTGGAACTCAAGATCCTCTTGACTCAGGAGATTACACCTGTGTGTGCACCACTATGCCCAGCTTGCCTCTTATCTTTAAACCTGCCCTTCTTGGGTGGGGGGGGGGCTATAATTAGGGATTGAGCCCAGGGCCCTGAGCACAGTAGGCAAATGCACTATATGCTCAGCTCTTCATTATTTTGATACAGGGTCTAGCTAAATTATCCAGGCTGGCCTTGAATTTAACAAGCCCCCGTCTCAGTCTCCCCTGGAGCTGATGTGAGAGGCACACTCCACCCCACCTGGCTTAATCCCACTCTTCTTTGTCCTACAGTGGGCTACAAAGCAACAGGCTTCATTTTTCCTGCCAGTTACTCAACAGTAGGCTCTACCAAGAGGGGGCAATGAAAGGCAGGAAGAAGATGGAGGAACTTTCACCTCAGTTTGTTATTTCTGTAGAGGACAGCGGTTTTGGTGACAGCTCTCCAGCACGTGACCTCTACCTAGTTTTTCATCACCGCAGTGCCCCTGCTTCTGCAGTGGTCACACTTCCTCTTCCACCCTCTCCATCAATCACTGCATACATTAGGATGTCTTCCGTTCCTTCCCAGAATACTCACTTCACTCAGCCCAGTGGGGGCAATGTCTGCTGCTAGGTACTCTGTCACACCTTAGTGTTTTATTTTACATAGTAAAACAGTTCTTTTAATTTTCCCTGCTCCAAAAACTGGTGTGGTTTTTGTCTTGACTGGATCCTGACTGATGACAAGGGCCCCCAGGCTCAAAAAGCGGAACGCCCGGGTTCCATCCTGACTCCAACGTTACCTATTTCTATAATTTTTTTGTCTGCTCGTCTCTAAAATGAGGGTGTAAGCATTACAAAACTGTGAAGGAAGTAGGTAAAGTGCTTAACACAGTTACTGAAATAAAAGAATGTTCAATTCACATTAGTTATTATTACCAACAGTGGTCCACTAAAAAAGAAAGGGCAGCCTGTTACCTACCCAAAAATGGAATATTTTGCAGTCTCAATAAATAAAGACAACTAGATGTCATAAGTAAAATCTCCACCCATGACTTTTCCATCTATTCATCCAAGTCATTCGGGTAATCAAGCTGTCAAGGCATAAATGGAACAAAGGGCAGCAAGTAACTTCTAAGGAACCTTCCAGTGTTTACATGCTAAGATTTTATCAATTCAGGGCTCACGGCCACACATCAGGAAATAACTTACAACCTTGCTCATTTCTTTTTTTTTCCCCTCATTTCATTATTAATTTTAGCGATTTTAATATTAGTGAATCAGAAACAAATGAAAATGAAAATACAGTGTAGAGTAACCCATAACAATTATATATATATAGGTAACTTGACAACCACAGAAAACTCATTTCTATTTATACTAATGTTTGTGGACCAATAATCTTAAATTTACATTTAAAAACTGATGACAAGCCAGAGACCGTGGCACACGCCTATAATTTCAGCACCCTGAGGCTGAGGCAGAAGGATCACAAGTTAGAGCTTGACTACGGCAACTTCGTGATACCCTACCTGAAAATTTAAAAAAAAAAAAAAAAAAAAATTGAAAGAGCAAGAGAAATAGATCAATACAAAACCTGGGTCTGATCCTCAGCACTGGGGAAAGAAACAAACTGATGCTATAACTCAGTTCCATAATTCTCATGGCACTGTGCCTAACTTCTCATGGTCGTTACATACTCACCCTAATTCTGTCATGCCGTCCATGAACTCCGGCTTGGAGAACTCACATTGTGTTGCTGCTCTGAACTTCCATGCAATGATCAAAACACTAATGCTGGCTGGGTCAAGTGCCAGGTCATCACAGAACTGCTGTATACCATCTATTCCAATTTTATTTTCATCTTGAGGATCTTTAAAAGTAACAAGGCAGTATCAAATTAGTGCCATACTTTATTATGCTACATTCCTAAAACTGAAAAGGCAACACTTCATTTTCCATTTTAAAAAGATCACAATATACCAAAGACACAGACCTACTCTAGTGGATGTTTTTCCTATATAATAATTAAAGCCACTTTGTCCCACAAACAATATTATTAAAGATTACAGGAAGGTATACATCCATGTGAAAATTTCCCCAGACTTAAACACATTGAGAAAATCAGATATGACCTTGTACAGGGACAAGGGATCATGACCCAACATATCCAGATTTTGTTTACCCTTTTTTTTTTTCTTTGGGTCTTGTTGAGACAGGGTCTTGCTATGCAGTTCAGGCTTGTCTTAAGCTCACTTTGTGGCCCAGGCTGGCCTTAAACTCACAGAGATCCTCCTGCCTCAGCCTCCAGAGTGCTGGGATTACTGGTGTGTGCCACCGTGCCCAGCTCAGATTTTGTTTAAGAAGGCATTCTAAATTAGTAATATTATGTATAGAAATCTCATTTAGTCCCCCTGACCCATGCTAAAGATCAAAACCAGGACCTTGCATGCTAGGCAAGTACTGGAACACTGAGCAACATTCTCAGTTCAGAAATTATTTTTTTTTCCTTAAACAAAGTTCATTTTTACCATAACAATCATGTCTGAAGAGTTTCAGAAAAACTACAAACTATGCAATCCTATCTTAATATAAGCCTCTATATCTGTTATTTAAAGGAAAAAATATTTATCAAAAATTTCAAAATAATGATATATACAAAGGAAGAGAGGAAGTGAATGCTACTATCAAACATGACTTGCTAACACCTTTCTAAAAGTTATCTGGGCTCGGAAGATAGCTCAGCAGCACAGCACCTGCCTGGCAAGTGCAAGGTCCTGAGTTTGATTCCCGGTACCAAAGTAACTAACTAACTAAATGAATAAATAAAATAGAAGTTATTTGGCAATAACTCTAACAATAAAAATCATTTGATATGGAGCATAAATCATGCATAAACTTTTCAGAAAAAAATTGAAATTATATACACATACATATTTATATAAACAAAAAATACAGCAGTATCCACATCTGTCTATTAAATATTGGTTACTAAATTTGGTGAATAAATATAAAGGTAAAAAAGCTATTAATTTTTCATTTAGTCACCTATTACACCCTGGTTTGTTTGTTTCTTTGAAGAGTACTAGGAGTTTAACCCAGGACCTCACACATGCTAGTCAAGTGCTCTACCACTACAATGCATCCACAGTCCTTTTCTTTGTTATTTTATTTTTTGTATTGACCTAGGGGCCTTTCTAAACCAGGGTTTGGCTAAGTTACCCAGGCTGGCCCCAAATTTAACAATCTTTCTGCATTAGCCTCCAAATATCTAGGATTACAGTTATATGTTCCTCACCTCGCCTTGCTTAATTTTTAAAAAGTGTATGTTTGCCAGCTATGGTAGACGCCTATAATCCCAGAATTTGGGAGGCTGAGGCAGAAGGATCGCTGCAAGTTTGAGGCCAGCCAGGACTACATGAGGTCAAGGCCAGCCTGAACTGAATAGTAAGACCCTATCTCAAAAATTAAGAAAAAAAAAAAAAAAAAAAAAAGAACAAAAAGAAGTTTATGTTATTTTATAATTCCTTCAAGTCATTATTCAAATTTTATTAAAATCTGGTGTAGTAGGGCCAGGCAAGGTGGCTCACGCCTGTAATCCCAGCACTTGAGGGGGGGCTGAGGCAGGAGGATCAACATGAGTTGGAGGCCAGCCTAGGCTCTATAGTGAGTTCAAGGTCAGCATGAACTGCATAGGGAGACCGTCTCCAGCAAAAACAAAAAATTGGTTCAGCAGAGTTTCACAAAATTGCGGCGAGGTAGCCAGGCATGGTGGCCCTCACCTATAATTCCAACATTTTGGGAGGCTGAGACAAGAGGATCACCAAATGGGAGCCCACCCTGGGAAAGAGGAAAACCCTGTCTTAAAATAAAAACTAAAGATAGGGCTGGGAGTGTAGCTCAGTGCAAAGTCCCTGGGTTCAATCCCCAGTATCACAGAAAGGGGGGGTGGGACTGGTAGCCCCTGATCTGCTAGTCTCAAACTGGATAATACAGGAGGAAAAAAAAGGAGGAATGAGCCAAGAAGTTATTTTAGTGAACAGAGAAAATAATTTCTCCTCTCAGATCTGCTTAAGTAATTCTAAATCTACAGAGTTCTGCTGGACACACCCACCCAGCTTACTTTCTATGTAATATTTGCTTTCTCACAAGCCCATAACTTTAGAAAACCTAGTTCAAAATATTTAAAGTCACAAGCAAACACTCACCTTTGTATCTATTGTATAGTTGTTCTAACTTCTTCCTGTCCAATGATCCTTTTACACTCTCTCGTATATAAAGTTCAGGATTTTAGAAAAAATTATCTGTTGCAACATCTAACTTCCAGTCATTTTGAGAAAGACAACTTACAGCAGTTTTTTCACTAGATTGTGTGAAGATCATAAACTGTCGAACTTTATCCTTCTGCGATGATTTCAACTTGTTCTATTGAAACCAGAAAATAAACTGAAACTCTATGTAAAATCACATAACACTAAGTTTTTCTGCTGGTTAATCATTCTCAGTAGTATTTTTCCTCATAAAACATTGAAACATTTTAGCTTAAGGTTTATTTTTGATCTATTTAATAATAATCAGAAAGGTAATTTTTCTAAAAAATCTGTAACATGAAATTTAGTAGTTTTGGAAAAAGAAACTAGCCAGGGCTAAGGACGCTCACCCACCCTGCATTTCTCCTAAGAACAGCGGCACTGAGAGCAGTACAAAGGCTCTAGAAGGGAAGCACCACTGCTCTCATAACCCTAACCAAGCACAAAGCTCCAAAAGGGAGGGTAGGAGGGGGAGGGGAGAAGCGGCACTATTCAGCCAGTCAGTCAAAAGACCCTGGAGAACAATGAGATTAACAGGTGCTTGCTGCAGTACTAATATCTTCTATAAAAGATCCCTAAAGCTATGTCATCCTATCTGTATTGTTTTTCTGCTTTTTTTTTTTTTTTTTGAGACAGGGTTTTACTAGGCAGTTCAGGGTGGCCTTGAACTCACTTTGTAGCCCAGGCTGGCCTCAAACTTGCAGCGATCCTCCTGCCTCAGCCTCCCAAGTGCTGGGATTACAGGCATGTGCCACCATGCCCAGTGTGTGTGTGTGTGTGTGTGTGTGTGTGTATGTGTGTGTGTGTGTGGTGCTGGGGACTGCACCCAGGGCTTTATGCATGCAAGGCAAGAGCTCTACCACTGAGCCACATTCCCAGCCTTTTTCTGCCACTTTTAACAAATAAAAGAAAGCAACAGAATATCAGTATTCTTATCACTAGAATTTCCTCATATTTGCAACTTTTAAGTAGATTACCCCCTCTCCTTTCTACTGAAGAAATCACCTCTTTTTCTTAGCCTGAGCCTAACAGGAACCATTCCTTGCTCTCTTCAAAAAGCCCTTCTACTGTAATAACGTCTTCGTCTGTCCCAGGCTGACAAGGATTCACTTCTCATCTGATCTGAACCCCAAAAAAATGAGGCAGAGTAATGAGGCCCTCCCCTCTCTCCCAGGCCTGGTTCTCGCCCAGAACCATGTTTGCCCTCCCCTCTCACCCAGTCTAGGTCTCCTGCACAACTCCGGCCTCCCCAGTGATATTCTTCCCCTCCTGATACAGTCTCTCAGCAAAATAGCTGGGTTCCTCTTATGCTAGTACTATGGTAAATGAAGAGAGAGAAAACACTTGAGAACAGCACACACTTACAGGTCTTGTGTAGTTTAAGAAACACATTTGAGAACCCCAGAATCTATGATCTGGCCCAAACCAACAGATCGCAACCCTCACCTCTCTGACTGCATAGATAAGGAAGCACACCGGGAAAGTTGAGGCACTGGTTCACAAAACCCACTCAAGTTGTTTGGTTGAAATTAGACAAGAACAAAGAGAGCTCATACCCGAGTCTTAGTAGTCTCTCCATAAACAACAATGCTGGCTGTACATATTTATCAAGTTTCCGGGATTCTCAGCAAAAAGACCACCAGAGATATTTCTATGCAACACAAAATAAAAATAAAATGATACAAATCACATATGAAAAACCAACCCCGCTGGGCATGGTGGCACACACCTATAATCCCAGCACTAAGAAGGGTGAGGCAGGATCATCAGCAGGAGTTCAAGGCCAACCTGGACTACACAGAGAGACCCTGTTTCCAAGAAAAAAAAACCCCAATCCTATCTCTTGCAGTATCAAATAGGCTTACTCCCAGGAGTCTGAGCTGTTGGTCAAACACTTCTTCTTCATAAATGTTACTATTTAGAATTATATATTAAAACTTTCAACATCTGTTCTCCATCAAAACTGCGAAGCTCTGAATACACTAACCTATTGCTATTGTACTAATTACCACCTACGGACATCAGGTAAGTCATATCTCATTGTATGACACATCTCCCAAATATCTAAGATTCTTCTCTTCTGAAAACTACTTCCTCTTTGAGATTATTCAATGAAAACAAATTCAATGACATCAAATGCCAGGGAAGATAAAACAATTTTGATTTCAACTATTGCTCTATTATTTTAAAAATTAGTATCTTTTTCTCCCTTGAACCACATGGTACGCTGACACTGTAATCCTCTTCGGGAGAACACAGAAGTACACGTCACATACTTATAATGTACTCTATTCATTTGACAGCTTTCTGTGCCTAGAATAAGTTTTAACACGTTTTTCCCTGTGAGGGACGATCTACTCAATTCTGTAGTATCAAAGGCTGTCCTAGAGTAGACTACAAATCCAGCCTTCTTTTCAGGCCTATTTAGGAGACTACCACCCCCTTTTCTCAGGCCATAAAAGTGCTACCAGAAACTATTCTGATTTTGACATTATCATATCAAAAAATTCAAAGAAAAGAACTATTTTATAGAAAAGAAGGGGATGAAAAACTGGGGTGAAAGAAAAAAAAAAACAAAAACGATAGATTTTTATTTCTGCTATAAACCCAGTGGCAATCCCCCAAGAGAAAAACTACAATGATTCAGCACCCAAATGTAATATATGGCATTTACTTTATGCCATTTACTTTATTTAAAAGGAACACAATTGAGTGGCCATTAAACAAGATCAGGCAATACAATCTTCAATCTTTAGTACTCAAGTATTAAAAATGACTAGATATCAAGTTTTCAAGAAAATTCAACAGTGGTTAAGTATGCAAAATGTATAAAACACTGCATACATTTTGTTTTGTTTTTGCTTGTTGAGACAAGGTCTCACTACGTAGTTCAGGCTGGCCTTGAACTCACTATATAGAGCCTAGGCTGGGCTCAAACTCAGAACAACCCTCCTGACTTAGCCTCCCAAGTGCTGGGAGGTGTACCACCATGCCCGACTAAAACATTGCATACATATTTTGATTATTTCAAATTGTGGAAAGAAAACGGGACACTTTCTACATATGCACCAAAATACAGGTGCACCCAACTATATAAAACAAATAGTGAGGAATATGAGAAATCCAATGAGCACTAACAGAACTGTAACAGAGGGTCCTCAATACCCCAGTCACAAATAGATCAACTAGACAAAAAAACAAGAAATATCAGAACTGAACCAAATTCTTGAACAACGGACTTAGTAGATGTCTCCAGCGTTTCCCACCCCACAATATCAGAATACATATTCTTCTTAGCTGCACATGGGACATTCTCCAAAACACACCACATACTAACTCTCAGAATAAGCTCAAGTGAATGCAAAAGAATTGAAACTATCCTACGCATATTATCAGACCACAGTGTAATGAAACTGGAAATCAATGAAGGGCAAAAGAAACTACAAGAAATTCATAAACACATGGAAATTAAATAACACCCTCCTGAACAACAAATGGATCAAGATGAAATCAAAGAAGAAATTAAGACAGTTTCTACCATTAAATGATAATGCTAATACAACATACCAGAACTCATGGAACACAATGAAAGCAGTCCTATGAGGGCAATGTATAGTGGTAAATACCCCTATCAGGAAAACAGAGCGAGCTTAAACAAACAATCTCATGTTGAACCTCAAGCTACTAGAAAAAGCAGAGCAAGTCAAGCCCCACACTCATAGGAGGAAGGAAATTATAAAAATCCAAGGAAAAATTAATGCAATGGAGATTAAGAAAATAACACAAAGAAGCAATGAGTCAAAGAGTTAGTTCTTTGAAATATTAAATAAAATTCACAAACCCTTACCCAACCTTATCCAAAAAGGAGAAAAGACTCACATCCACGCAATTAGGAATGAAAAGGGAAGCCAGGTGTGGTGGCACACACCTGTAATCCCAGCACTCAGGAGGCTGAGGCAGGAGGATCTTTGCGAGTTCGAGACCAGCCTGGGCTACAAAGTGAGCTCAAGGCCAGCCTGAACTGCATAGCGAGACCCTGTCTCTAAAAAGACCAAAAAAAAAAAAAAAAAAGAAAGAAAGAAAGAAAGGAATAAAAAGGGTGAAATCACAATAGATCCTGCAGAAATCCACAAGATCAATAATACTCACATCAAGTACGTGTATTTTAATTAAGATGGAAAACAGAGAAGAAATGGACAGATTCCTAGATGCATGTGAATTACCAAAGCTGAATCAAGAAGATATAAAAATTCTAAATACACTAGCATCAGTCAATGAAACTAGAAATGTGAATTAAAACCTACCAACAAAGAAAAGCCCAGGCACTCATGGATTCACTGCTGAATTCTACAAGAAATTTAGAGTAGACCTAATGCTATTTCTCAAACTCTTTCACGAAATTGAAAGGGAAGTACTACACCCAAATTCATCCCTCAAAGCATGCATTACCCTGATACCAAACACACAGAGGGACCCAACCAAAAAGAATACTACAGGCCAATTTCCCTAACGAACTTAGATGCAAAAATCTTCAATAAGATAGCAACAGACAGAATGCAGCAAATCATAAAGAAGATTATATTCCATGACCAAGTATTATTTATCCCAGGAATGCAAGAATGATTCAATATATGCAAATCAATTAATGTAATATACCATATTAACAGAACCAAGGGCAAAGACCATATGATCATGTCAACAGATGCAGTAAGCATTTGACAAAGTCCAAAACCCATTCATGACAAAAACCCTACAGAAAATTGGGATAGATCATCTTTATCTCAACCTGGTAAAAACCATTTATGACAAACCAACAGCCAACATCATACTAAATGGACAATAACTGAAAGCTTTCACTGTAAAATCAGGAATAAGACAAGGATTCCACTGTCACCACTCTTATTCAACATAGTTCTGGAAACATTAGCCAGAGCAATTAGACAAAAAGAAATGAAAGGAATAAGGATAAGAAAGGAAGAAACTAAATTATTATTTGCAGATGACATGCTTATTTAGGAGACCTCAAAAACTTCACCACAAGACTTCTAGATTTAATAACCAAATTCAGTAGAGTAGCTGGGTACAAAGTCAATAGGATACAAATTCAAAAATCAA